CCGCAGCCCCACCAGGGCCCTCCCCCGGCGGCGCGCGCGCCGGCGCGCGCACACACTTGCACACCGTACCTCCTCTGCTGCTCAGCCTCGCCTGCCCCCCGCGAGCGCCGAGCCCCCTGGGGCCGGATGCCATGGGTAACAACTTCTCCAGTATCCCCTCTCTGCCCCGAGGAAACCCGAGCCGGGCGCCGCGGGGCCACCCCCAAAACATCAAAGGTAAGGCTCCGCGGGGGCCGGGCGCAGCTGGAGGACTGGGGCGCAGGCGGAGGGGCAGGGAGAGGTGGAGAGGTGTGGCTGGCGAGGCCGGGCAGGTGCCACCTGTTGTGCGTATTTGGAGATGGGAGATGCACCTCGGCCATGGAGGTGCGCTGGAGGTGGGGGGCTGCTAGTGATGACGGTGAAAATCAGGGAGGATGCCGTTGCGTGGGGTCTACGCAGTTCTCCCAGCCAGCACCAGAAACGTCACCGGAGTCCCCTCAGGCCATGATCCTAGGCGAGCGTGCAGGGGTGAGGAAGGGCATTTGCCCGGTGGGTAGGGGAGTGTGGCAGGATGCTCAGGCTGGCCAGCTGTGCTTCCCAAGGGAAGCACCATCGTCTCCTTTTTCATCTGCCCATGGCTGGAGAGGTGATGCTGGAAGCACTAGCTGCATTTCCGATTGGAGGGTCTTAAAAATCCAGGACAGATTAACAGCAGCCTGGAAGAAGGGGCCAGAGCCGGTGGCCTCTGGAGTCCTCTGCAGCTACTGACTTTTTGTATCCACTGAATCAGGTTGTTTTCTGGTTCCCCAAAGGCTAGATGTCCAGTTGAAACTCTAGAAAGGAGGGGCTGGGAGCCTTGAGACAGAGTAACATTTACCGAGAAGGTCTTTGCCCTCCAAGTCCCTCGACCCACCCAGCACCCTCAGGGAGGCCCCAAGCCCTGTTCTTGACTTTAACTCTTCAGTGCTGTCTCTGACCTTTGGAAGACACACCTGGGTCCTCCCAGGCCCTCAGAGCCCACAGATTCCCTTCGGGAAGCTCCTTTTCTTTCACCCTCAAAACCAGCCAGCACTGGCTGGGCATTCTGATGGCTAAGAGTCAGGAAGGGAAGCCCTTGGGCTTTCACAAAGAACAACCCACTTCTTGAGACCCACCCCCACTGACCCCCAGCTTATGAGAAGGATACCAGTAATGCCCTTTGACAAAGCATTGAAGTTTACAAAGAACTTTCACAAATACCTTTTCAAGTGGGCAAGGAAACTGCTCTGGGGAGTCCTCAGAGCTAATCATGCCCATGTTACAGCTGAGGAGAACGAATGCTTGTTTCACGTTCCCAAAGCCAGAGAGGCAGAACTAGGCTGCAGACCTGTATCTTCTGACTTGGAATTCTGTCCTCTGTTTTGCTGGACAGTTAACCTTCAGGAGTCGGGGAGAGGAGGAGAGGCGGGACCGCCGTCCTGCATTCTAACTCCAACCCTTTCAGAACTTCAGCTCTCACTTGGCTCAGGAAAACCAACGGGTTTGTTGTGTCTTTCTGGAAATTAATATGGCGGTACCTGTCAAGACCTTTTAAAATATCATCTTCATTGACCTGGTGATTCCACCTGAAGAACTGATCCTAAGAAAATGGAAATGCAGGCAAACACTTATGTGCTAGGCCTAGGATGTTCATGGTAGTGTTGTTTACACTAGGAAAACAACCTAAATGCACCGAAATCGTGCTGGATCCTCTCGGTGGAGTATTATGCAATCTTTAAAATAGTATTTTTGAAGAATATTTGATCACTTCGGAAAGTGCTCACAGCAGCATAATGACAGCTGTAAAAAGCAGCATACAAAGTTGTGTAGACTGTAAGAGCCCAATTTTGTTAAAATGTTATGAATGCAAAAAAAAAAAAAAAAATCAGACAGCCCTTGAAAGAAAGTTTCTCAAAGGTTAATTGTTTCCTCTGGGTAGTGAGATCACATGAGATTTTTTCTTTTCTTTTTTATATTCTGCTCTTTTCTAAAATTTCTACAATAAACAAGTATTATTTTTTATAATCAGCTGTAAGTATTAGGTATATGAAGACTGTTTCTGAGCATTGGAAACAGATTTCTAATGATGGAGGAACCCGTGGTTGTCATCCAGTTCAATGTCCTCCCTTACAAGGGAGAAGAATGAGGGAAAGGGAGAGTGAATTGACCAGTTACTCAGTGGGTCAGTCAAGAGAAGGTGGCAAAGCCAGACTAAGTCCTTCAAGGGCAGGGGTTAGCTGGGGACCGGTGAGTTGACTTGGTGCTTGAATGCTCACCAACTGCCCCAAGAAGGCTGTGCTCCATCCATGACCCTAGGGAAGCCCAGAGAAGGCCTCCATAATTGCACCCCTTTTAACCTAAAGTTTGGGATTGGGGGGATGTGAGGTCTCTGTGGCTTGGGGTCTTTGGCAAGGGAGGGTGAGCAGGAGAGGGTCTGAGGCCCTCCCATGTCCCTGCTCCCACCCTAGCCTCCTCCTCTGCCTGAATCCCCACCTATCTGGCCTGGGAAGGCCCCTTTTTGCTGCCTCCCTGGTTTACAGAGATCAGTTCTTATTCAGTGGGAGTAAATGGTGGAGAAATTCTCCCTGCCGGCAGTCTCCCTCCCACTGCCCATCTCCCTTCAGGCTCAACTTACCAGAATCCACTCTCCTCTGTCCCTAACCACACACCTAGGTGGCCGTGAGAATTTTGGTTCAGCTCCTTCCAAGCCTGAGATGAAGGATCAGAGCATGCCGTGAAGGCTGCCCATGGGTTCCTTCATCCAGGGTCCCCTTATCCTGCTTCTCAGCCTGACTTTTCCCCATCCTAACAGAGCCATCAGTTTTATTCTGTGATGGTTTTAATGTTCACAAGTTCCTTTCTAACTGTATCAGCATTGACCTAGGAGTCTTCTCTGATACATCAGTGGTCATCCAGAATTCCATCCCCATTTTATTGGTATGACCTTGATACTGGCTGTGATTCTAAGACTGTTCACCCTGAGTTCTGCTGGGACAGCTTTCAGCTCTGATTCTTATCAGTGTGCATCCAGAAATTTGCTGGTGGGAGGCAGGGAACTCTCGATTTTTTTTCTCCTTCCATAATTGCAATCTATTGATTTCTCACCATTTTAATTAAAACAACTGGAAAGGACCTGGCATAACAGGGACCCTGAGACTCATTAGAGATCTAAGATTGGTCTGGCTGTCAGGCTGACGTGAAATGAGGCTCGTCCATCACCTGTCAGGTGGTAGACTTTGGTCTTCTTCCTAGAGACACACTGACCTCACTCCGCTGCTGGTGATTCCCACTGGGGTCTGAACAGTGTTGGTATAGGAGTGTCCACGGGAGAGGTCCAAGGTATAGCTCTGGGATTAGGACCAACAGACAGTTATGAGGAGCTGCCATGTGCCTGGGTCAGAGGTGAGGGCTCATGACATCTCTGTAGATTCACAGACTGAAGATCTACTTGATAAGGTAGGGCTGAGGGAAGGAATGGAATCAAATGCTTGGTTGGATTGTTGAAATCCCAGATATGTGTGGGCAGAGGTCAGAAATGGGGGGTCAGGGAGGCAGCGAGAGTCAGGGGTGCAGCGAGAGTCCTAGGGTGTGGAGAGGAGGGTAGGGCAAGGGGCGTGCAGCAAGGGCTTGGAGGTGGGATGAGTGAGTGTGTGTATATGTTCTCAGTGATGGGCGCAGGGTGACTGGGGCAGGGGATTCATGTGTCATGGAGACAAATACAGGGAATGAAGATCTTCCTCCTTCCCCATCTCTTTCTGAGTGCCTGCCTGCTTGGTGCTAAGTGTTGGGGGAAAGGTAACTAGGAAAGCCTATGGGGAGGACGACTCAGTCCCAGTGGTCACCCATAGACGGGGGTTGGATAGGCCACCTCCTGTCATTTTTTTTTTTATTGTGGTAAAATTCACATAACATAAAATTCACAATTTTAACGTTTTAAAGTATACAATTAACTGGCATTTAGTACAGTCACAATGTTGTGCAACCACCACCTCTGTCTAGTTCCAGAACATTTTCATCACCCCAAAAGGGAAGCCTGTACCCATTAAGCAGTCATTCCTTATTACTCCCTCCCCTGAATCCCTGGCAACCACTAATCTGCTTTCTGCCTCTAGGCATTTGCCTATACTGGACATTTCATATAGATGGAATCATACTATATTTGTTCTTTTGAGTCTGATTTCTTTCACTTAGCGTAATGTTTTCAAGGCTCATCCGTGTTGTAACATGTATCTTCTTTCCCTTCTGTGGCTGAATAATGTTCCATTATATAGATATGCCACATTTTGCTGATCCACTTGCCAGTTGATGGATATTTTTTTTTTTTGCGGTACGCGGGCCTCTCACTGCTGTGGCCTCTCCCGCTGCGGAGCACAGGCTCCGGACGCGCAGCCTCAGCGGCCATGGCCCACGGGCCCAGCTGCTCCGCGGCGTGTGGGATCCTCCCGGACCGGGGCACGAACCCGTGTCCTCTGCATCGGCAGGCGGACTCCCAACCACTGCGCCACCAGGGAAACCCTTGATGGATATTTTTGATGGGTATTTGGATTGTTCCACCTTTTGGTTATTGGGACTTTTGTGCTGTGAAGATCTGTGTATAAGTTTTTGTTTGAACACCTGTTTTCTTTGGGGTATATACCAAGGAGTGAACCTTCCATCTTTTCAAAGCTGGTGCTTTTGAATTGGACATTTCACAAAGCCACTGGTTGTGACAGATGTAGGGAGGTTGTCTCCATCCAGCTTTGGCTGGGTGTGACACCAGCCAGACACCTGTTGTCTTCAGTCTCTTTTCCATGGTGGCTGAGGCTCCCGGCAGGCAGAGGGAGGAGCTTCTAAGGTTGGCCAGGGAGCTTTGATTCTTTGAGGTGGACCGGTGTGAGCTACAGGAACTTTCTGCAGACCCTGAATCTCCTCACTGCTCCCTGAGGCCAGCGGTGGGGGATGCATTCTCCTAGGACAAGGGCCGAGCCATTTTCCAGCCTTCACAACCTTGCTGCTACTTTCCTGATCTGGGTCCTCCTCCCAGATCTTGCAGTAGCTGGCCTCTTTGCCTCCCATTCCTCCTTTGATGCCAGAGGGATCCTCCTAAAGTATGCCTTTCATCTCGCCCGGCCCCTATCAACAGTCTTCAATGTCATGACCCAGCCTGCCATAATCGGAAATTCAAGGCCTCCATTCTTTGGCCAACCCACAGCCCTTGTCTGGGCTCCACCCGTAGTTGT